AATATATGTCCCAGTTTTTGTTTCACTACCTGGAAATATTCAATTAATACTAAATAGATTTTAGACAAAACAGAACACACTTATCTTCAAGAACATGTTTAAACCAGCAAAAAAAAAAAAAAAGGGCAATTCATAATGGAAAACTCAAACCTTGAGTGAAGTTGTGTCACAAAGCCCAATTATTAGCTTAAACTGTCTTGTGTTGCCCAGAGTTGCACAATATTTCAGTTCAGTGCTTTACAGGGAAAGTTACACAAGAGCAGCCTGAAGGGAAGAAGAGCGTCGGACTGCGAACGCAGAGCCGGCCTGCCGGCCCCCGTCCTGCCTGCTTTTAATGCAACGACTGCTGCTGCTGGGAACAGCAGGTTGGCATGAGAGGAGCAGGAGTTACATAAGAAAAATGACAGGAAGGAGAGCCTATCACACACTGCGCTGCTGCAATCTGCAACATAAACACTATTTTTATTATTTTTTTCAGTTTTCTTCTGAACTGATGACAGCAGCTCTGGCTGGAAAATGTCAACATGGATGACAGGGAGCCTCTCCCAGGAACTTCACGGCGTGTTTTCATCCTCAGAGTGGCTCACATTGTTGAGCAACTCTGAAAAAGTAAATCAAATGTACGGCTTCTTGTCTTGTTTCTCACTTTCAGACTGACTGAGTGAAGGGTGTGCGGTGGTAGTGGCTCACCACAAACAGATCTGGTGGTTCCAACGAGTAATATGAAACTCTTTTTTTTTTATTGTTGTTTTTTGTCTTCACTCCTGCTCTCTGCACCACCCACAGCAGCCAGCTACAACAAGGTGACGTTCCTGAGAAACCACTTTTGGATCGGATCTCCTGTTTTCCCCCCACTTCTTGTTCTTCTTCTTTTTTTTTTTTTTCTCCAGCCCATCTTTGAGCTGTACAAGCTGCTTTGTGTTGTGCAGAGGCTTGTGAAAACAGGCCAGGAGAGAAAAAAACTAGGTCAGTGAGGAGGGATGGGAGAGGACGGAGGAGAGGGGCGAGCGGCGTTGCAGAAGAGAGGGGTTATTCAAAGTGGAGAGAATGAGAGCCGGGAAGGAACGGGGGAGGGAAGGTTACATCACATCCCTCCACAGAGTAAACTTCGGCAAAGTGCTCAGAATGGAGCCTTATTTTGTTCCAGGGAGCAGGTCAGCGGCTCACAATGGCCGATTATTTCCTCTCAGCCGAAACACTTTTATGTAGGAATGCTGCGTGAAAAAACTGCAGATTATCAGACGGATTAAAAGAGACACTATTTTTTTTGTAACTTTAATTTAAACAGTTGCCTTTTTGTCAGTTACATACTGGAATCTGAGCACAGGGATGGATGCGCGAGTGTGGAAATTCAAAAGCTGGAGAAGAGCGAGAATTAATGAGACTTATACTTGATTTGACTTCTACTCCGTTTCTCCTCTCTGTCAGATGCAAACAACTCTGGAAGTCGGTTTTAAGGGTCCTGTGAGGAGGGTATGAGCAGTCAGTATCTTTTTGTGAAATGTAATTTGCATGACAGATTGAAGGAGCAGGACTTAATCAGAACAAGGTGTTAAATTCAGTCACATTGAAGTTATTTCAACAATAAAGATTGTTTAATAAAATTGGATTCTCGCAAGCTTATAGTCTAAGCATTAGTTTTTAGGTTGTTTGTCTACATGTCGACTTGGTATGGACTGGATGGAAGTGAATTAAAATGAACTGAATTAATTTGAGCAATTTAATTCTTGGAAATAACTTCAATGTGATTGAATTTAACACCTTGTTCTGATTAAGTCCTGCTCCTTCAATCTGCCATGCAAAGTACATTAGAAGAGCAGAAATCTTTATTTTTATTTTATTTGGTGCTGTAGTCTCTCAACTCAAGCTCAAAAAGTAGATGTATTTTTAAATTGTTCTCAAATGAAAAGATGCGCACACACAGACACGTTTTGTTTTTCTATTGTTTCTGTTCGTCGTGCTAATTTGTTGCTAAAGTATTTTTTATAAACTTTGTCCACGTTCCATCCTCAACTTAAACAAACCATTTTAAAGAAAAAACTGCAATAACACAGTTAGTGTGTTGATATATCAAATGAATATCGGTATCAGAGTTTGTATCGGTGACACTGGCGCTGAGTTTACTTGGTATCGGATCGATATGAACATTTGCACTACAGCAAACCTTTAGTGAAAACCATCTAATACAAAGGTGCCTAAGGTATTTATACAACATGCTTGTTGTTGTTGTTTTAGAAGAGCAGAAATTTGCTTTGCTCCTAAACCCTACTGTGCCATCAGCTCAGCTTTCCAGACAGAAACATCTTCCCCTCTGAAGACGGCGGAGCGATGATTGACGATAACGCCACCAGATAACCTCACGTTAAATAAACATACTGTCCCTTTAAATAAAGTTAGGCTGTAATACCGTGCTTATGAAAGTTAGAGACTGAGAAGGGGGTGTTGGCCTTTCCGCCGCCTGTGGTGATCAACAACACTGGCTGGTTATGTAACCGGGATGCTGCAGTATGTAGGTCAGCAGCACAGGGAGAGGCAGGGATCGGGTAAAGAGGATGAAGCTGTGGAGTGTGTGTTAGGCTCCCCGTCCTCTCAGCCGCTCACTCGCACTACCCAGGATGTGTCGCTTAAACCGCGGCGAGATGACGTCAGACTACATCAGTCAATAGTTAAAAAAAAAAAAAATCTCTGCTTAATGACCTGAAAATCTGGAGGCAGAGGGGAGGAAATCATCAGAAGGGGGATGCTGCAGGAGCCTGTTGTGCAACGAAGCCAGACATGCTCAAACATTAACTTGGTTAATGTTTCCATTTCACATTCTAGTTCTTGTAAACGAAGTAGATCACGCCAAGTGTCTTTATTTTGTATCTCGTTTCTCATGTGCATTTAGCTTAAAGCTGTAGTAAAAGCATTTTTGTTTGTTTGCTTGTTTTACAGCAATAAAAGTTTGGATAAAAGTTGTCAAGTTCCAATGAGACGCTCTGTTGTGAATATTTGCTGCATGACAGAACGTGATGTTCTCACCCTTTCCAACTGAGTGTTTGTTTTGATAACATCTCTGTGCTTTTCCCGTTCACCTAAATTTCCTTCAGCATAACTTAAATAAGAACAAGCATCTGGCTTCGCGGATCCCTCTGACCCAGTTTTGCTCATGTGTTGCCCTAAAACGAGAGTTCCTCTTGTCGACACCGAAACGTTTCACATTGGTAAAAATGTAAACATTTCCCCTCGGAGCAGATTTGGTCCCTGAGCCTGCAGGAAATCGGGGAGACAAAACCCGGAGCGACTGAAAACAAGTCCTCGACTGGCTGACGTTCAGGAGGGAGTTATGCTGCCTGCAACAACCCAGTGACTCTCCCACTCCCTCCGTCTGACACGGTACTGTAAAATAGGTCAGTGTGTAACTCTACAGATGTGCGTGCAGAGGGCTTTCAGCGTCAGAAGCACACACGAGCACACGCACACACACACACACCAACGCATTCATCTCAGACTGTTAAAATAGGTCACAAGGAAGTTATGCGCTTCAGAAATGAAAGTAGGCCATCAGGAATAACTGCATGTGTGTTGGTGAGCGCATGTGTGAGAGATGAATCAGCTTCATGTTATGCAATGATTAAGCTGCACTCCAGCCTCTTCAGCCTTATCTTGTGCCCTCGCGGTGAAACATGTCGCTTGCAGGTGTGCACGTCAGGGTATATAATGCAGGATGAGGCAAAGTGTTGCTTCTGTTCTGCCTTTCACTCACTTTAAAGCATTTTGATCTCATTCTGGAGTAAAATCTGGCAGTTTCACGATCATCATTTTGTGAAAAAGTTTGTAAAGTAATTTATATTCGCCTTCTGGATATTAACCACATTCAAGAATGAGTGTTTTGTCTCTTTTTGGACTGTGTTGAATAATCTTATGCGGCGTCTTGTCATCTCCCCTCTTATAAAAGGGGGAAATATTGTCGTCTGACAGATAATTGCTGCATTTGTGCCGAGCACCATCTACCGTCTCGTAAAGGCAGGATCTGACAGCGCATTTGTTCTGCACAGATCCCCACAGGGACCACTTATTGCATGACCTGCACAAGCTGAGAAACCAACAAGGTCGGAGGTCAGCTAATGCGAGTGCAAAGATGGTAGACGTCTAGTGGAGGCGTTGCTGAGTTGAGCAGCGAGCTTACCATCGCTGAGGCTAAGAAGAAAGAAGAAGAAAAGCTGCTACCATTAACTCTGCTTTTTCTCCTGCATCAGTTCCTCCTGCAGTTGTTTGTCTTCTAAAACCCAGAGTTGGTAAAGAGTCAGGTGAATAATTACAAGTGTAGTTGTATCTAAGGACATGTTGGTCCTCCGCTCCATTCAAGTATAATTGATCACTAATCACTATCCCTCCTTTTTATTTCTTTTCCAAGTCACTGTAAACAAAGAGGCGAAGGGGGGAAAAAACCTGACTAGCTCGTCTTCATGTCATCAGAAAGTGAAAGTATTTTGACACCTCTCCTGCCAGATAACCTCTAAAGTGTCAACAAACCTCCAGAAGCCACTAGACCTCATCAAGACATAATAAACTCCAATGAACTCCAAATGCATTCAGTTTTTTTAATTTGTTACCGGTGGAACTGGATCTGTTTCTGCTTATGAACTGGTATGTGTGTCTTGGGGAAAATGCTGTCCTGCAGCCATCTGTTGCATTACAAACTAACATAGATGCTGTTTTCACTGTTTTCCAGCTGGTGCTGTGGCAGATTATTATTATTTTGTTTCCCCTCACCCCTTAATAGGCCAAAATGTCACAAAATTTGAAGGTTAACAAATATTTACATTACCAAGACACTTGGGGACCGCTTTAATGTATATAAACGTGGCAAAAAACATTGAGAGAGCTGACTATGTTGTACGGCCGCTGCTTTCAGATAATTTATTTATTTATTTTTTTTTTCGATTTGCTCATTTAAAAAGAATAATAAAAAAAATTCCCCTGCAACAAAATGCAGCTCGATCTGACTCAGTTCAGACAAACAGCTACGTGGGAACCGCCCCAAGTTTCCCACGTTTCTGCGGGACGACTCTGAGTCAGCCTGCTCCCTGTTTCCATGTCAAAACATCCCGTACTGGTGCCACGAACGTGGACGGAACAAACGTGCAGAAAGCGGAGCGACGCTAATGGCTCCCACAGCTCCGTGAGCTCAGGCGCACAGCGCTCCATAAATATTTCAACGTGGAACATCGCGGATCAATAAAGGTAATTAAACACAGGACGGCTCAGGATATTTAACGTTTTTCAGAACTTTATTTGATCCTAAAAAGTGCTTCACTTTTATGATTTGATCTGTAACCACATGGCCCACGCTGGCTTTTGAGTGGAGACAGGCCTTCTGCGGCAGGATCGTCTCGCCTCCAGCCTTCAAAATGTTTTTTGTCTGGCTAAATGTTGAGAGCGAATGAGACGCCGTTGGGATTTCTTAAATAAGGATGTTTCAACTTACACGGAGTCAGATTTGCTCTGAAAAAGTACAACAAAATCAAAGTTGTTCTGGCTGGGGAAACATGCGGCTCCACAAGGCAGAATACCGTTAAAGTGCGATAACTGGCTCCCGTTTTGCGTCAAAGGGATGATATTCATGAATTTTATTCTCCGAGCAGCGGGAAAGAAACGTGTTAAATGTCAGCGTTTGCTTCTGTTAAGATTACAGCAATTTCCTTGACCGTATGTGAACAATAAAGGAAATGTGAACTGTGGTATTAGGTCAGAGTCGCACTATTTGTTTGTTTTGTTGTGGTTAAATTTGCATCAGTTTCTCTTCTGGCATCTTCATTTAGATTAGATCCAGACTAGTTGACAGCGGAGGCTAAAGCTAGCAGGAGCCACAAAGGAAGATTTCTAATGTTTGAAAACGAACTGATTCAAGTGATGGCGATAGAAACCCTCTTTTTTTTTCTTGGCCCAACCAGAATTTCTCTCCATGATCAACTAATCTGGATTTACATGAAGTCACCAAAGCAATGATCTGCTTCAGGTTAGGTATCAACTTTATTCAACCTGTGAAGAGGAGCCAGCAGCGTGAAGACAGAACATTTCTCAAGGAAGTACAAACTCAGAATAATTTCTGCTTGGCAGGAACTCACAAGCTCTGTCCATATGTCGGCGCAAACAAGTCTGTCAAGTTCAAAAGGTCTCAGCGATCAGCTCAGCTCAGTGTGTGTCGGATCACTTTTCACCCTGCTTCATAATCTAAGTATGAAATCTACCACAAACACAACAGGTTTATGAATGGAAAGGAGGAGGAGGAGCAGCTCCTTTTGCTCTGACCGGTGAAGATCTGAGGCACTCCACGTTACTGCGTCAACCTTTTACTGTAATCGGTGATGAATCACGTTCAGCGGTATTTACTGGAGCCATAAATGGGGTAAATGTTTCTGAGGCCCAACTGGGCCAAGTCGCACCAAGAGGAGACGAGCAGAGATTAAAGTAAAAAAAAAAAAAATCCTGAGCCTGAAACTTATAGTTATGATAGAAATTAACTACAGCATTGCTATTGCCACAGTTTAATAAAAAGTGTCTTTGAATAGTGCAAACAATTGCTTCTAACAATAGAATTAACAAGCTAAACCCTCAAACTTGAATAAGACTTCAGTGCATTTCAACTCAAAACAAAATGTAAAATGTCTAAAGGTTAGCTTTACAGGTAAAAATCCCTCAACATTAAATAAGAGTCCTTTCAGTCAATGTTTTTGCAAGTAATTTAAAACATGCAACATTACCAACGAAATCAGTGTTTCTCAACTTTTTTCAGGCCAGCAACCCCTAGCCTTTATCCAGGTCCCTCACCGCCCCCCAACAAAGAATTTGTAGACTACTTTGCATTGACTATTATTTTATCATTAACATTACTATCACTATTGTAGATGTTTTGATTTTTATGCTTGTTTCTGTATTTATCAACAAAAATGATTTTTTTGTAAAAAAAATTATTTCTGGTGTGTTGTTGCCTCAGAAGATGTTCCTTCATTTAACATAGATGCTGTGAAATAACCTTCACTAAACAAAGGAACCTAAATATGGACAATAAAAGCAAATTAGCTTAAAGATTTGAGAAACGTTAAGAGTTTGTCTAAATCTTTATGTCAAGCAGAAATCAGCAGATAAAGTTTTTTTTTTATTTATCTATTTATTTTATTTTTTTGCTTGTTTCTGGTGTAGTATTTTGGCTAAAGAATAATAATAATAAAAAAAAAAAACAGTCAAGCTGAATGCCAATAAAAAATATAACACGCTGATATTCACCTATAAAAGCTGCATCATCAGCAGCTCAACAAGCCCTCTAACCCGACCTGAAATATGCAACAAGTTCACAAACAGGATCAAGCCGTTCGTTTCTGATTCCTGATGAATGAACCCAGAAGGCAAACGTTCTGCTGACTCTGTGTGAGAAACTCTCTCCAGTCCATGCGGTCGGTCGTCAGTGCTGGGCTTTTATCTTCTTCTCAGAATGAAAGCTTCTTTAAACGTTATCGTCTCCAGTTGTGATGAACTCCAGTCAAAGGTGGACGTTATGCAATCTGTGTCACATTGAGCTGCGCCTGGGCAATAACCTCGAAGCTTTGGTTGCACAAGTTTTTTGGGATCGTTTGCACCTTTGACCATTGACGCCATGTTTTATTGCCTTTCGCCTGATTACTGCTGCAGCTGCACTTCCACTGGTTTCCACCAGGCCACTGAAAAAACAACAACAACAACAACAACAAAAAAAACAGGTTCTCTTTGTAGTTTGCTGAGGAACTGGAGGATCTTTGGTCTCGGATTATTAGCTGATTTCAAATGAACACAATCCGACCAGGTCAAACGAATGCTCTGGTGGGCATCTGTCATTTTATTGTAGGTTGTTTTAAAATCCCAGCGGAAGTGAAGTTGACCAAATATTAAATTTATTTATTTAGCAAAATAAAGCCATTTCAGAATGAAAAAGGTTTCCCAAATGGAGCAAGTTTCCAAGATTTTTGGGGTTTTATTTTGTGAAATAATACAAAAAAAAAAAATTACAAAATTGCAGACTGATGGGTAATTTAGTAGTTGATGTAGTTTATACTGGTTGTATCCATACTGGACAGTCTTCATACTCACTTTTTTCGTGGTATATGTACAGGTTTTTATGCGATAGACGATCACCTTTGTAGAGTTAGTTTTCAGCCACAGGTAGCGTTTTACATTTGACAAAACGTTCAGCTCTTTTCAGATGTTTGCTCTTTGTTGAGGGACCTGAAAATGGGATTTCTCATGGTTTTCTTCGCCCCACTCTTCTGTAAAACCCCTCCCCGCCCAAAAACAAAAACAGATTTGTGGAGCATATAATCAATAGTCGTCCTGTTAAAATGTCCTCCCACCTGAGCTGTGGATCTCTGCAGCTCTTCCAGAGTTACTCTCCTCTTGGCCGCTTCTCTAAACGAACGCTGGGTTCTTCATGATGCTGTTTGTCCTCTAATACAAATGTCTTCACAAGACATCTGGATTATTACTGTAATTAAGTAACACATATAATTTATTCAGGGGTAACAGAGTGAAGAATCTAAATCACTTTTCTGATTTATTTTATTTTTTTATCCTTAAAAATGTGAAAACCGAGCATCACATTCCCTCTGGTTTAGATTTGTGCGCCACTTTGAGTTCAGCTGGCTAATTGAAAATGCTACTAAAACTCACCGGTTTGATTTTTCCCAACAGGCCTGCGGGATGGGAATACTCACGGGTTCGCGGAGTGAACGATGCTGTTATTTCATCTGAACGATGTTGGCATTCCTGGAGCTCCGCAGCCTGACAAACAACATGTTTGTCGCTGAGATAACCTGCTGTTGTTCCCGGTGGTTATTAAGTGGATTAACCCCTTTAGATTAGTCTCGGCCACTTCTCCCATCTGTCCACTTGAGCACCCCAGATATGGTTCTGGACGAGCACCGAGGGGATCACACACACACACACACACGCACACACACACTACACAGCAACAGAGGCTTTGTGGGCAGCCTCGTGTTTACATAAGGAACTCCTTTTCCATCTCACCCGCTGTTCATACGGCCCGAGCGTGATCAACACGCACAGATCTGACCGCTTTCCACAAGTGTTACGGCAGCCATAGAAAAATACAACGGGACTGTAAACGGTTAATGATTTAAACCTCAGCTGAGAACAGTTTACATGCAGCTCATAAACACTGTCGACACATTCAGGTTGAGCGAGTGGCTCTGGGCTCTTTGATCGCAGCTGTTCCTCTGCGGGGACTTTAGATTAAACGGGTTTTATGCCCCGCGTACATTTCTGGTGATGCGTTTTATTTGTCTTACGCAACCGTAGTCTCATCACAAGTAACCAAACGTACGGAGGGAGAACAAACGTTTAAAAAGCAGCTCCAAAAGACAAAAGTGTGTTAAGAAAAGGAGAATTTCTTTGCAGTTTGCAGGGTAGGAAAGTTGACACGGATCCAACTAAATTACGCTGAGTTCAAATGAATTATTCAGCTTTGTTCTCTCTTTTGGTGTCTACATGTTTATGTCACTTTTTAGCCAATCAAACAAACTCTTTTCATATTGGTCAGATTAAATGCAGTTAGCCCAAATGTTTATCAAAATATAATATTTTCTCTCCATAAATGACACCATGTGGAGTTTCCTGATGTGAATGACCTTTGTTTCATGCATTTTGCGTCACTTTTGCAAAAAGAAAAGGAATTTGATTCTACATTACTTTTTAAACCAGCAATGTGTGGTAAGACTAAATAGATAATTAAGTGTACAAGTAATGGAACAAATTTCACAGGTAGTAGTTTGGAAAACTTGGTGCAACCTGCACACACAATCAAAACCTTCCACAAGGCTTCAAAAAAAAAAAAAAAACATAATTAATTATGCTGCTGATATTAAACACATTTATCTGTAAATGTTTACCAGTGAAGCTAAGACAAGCCTGATTAGATGGATGTTCACTACAAATAAATAGCTATGAACATTTTATGCATTTAGTTAATCACATAAATGTAAAACTGATATAATTAGCTAAATAACAAAAGTTGCCAGTCCTGTTTCTTTTCAGGAATTTAAAGCAAAAAAACAAAACAAAAAAAGCAGAAAGAAACTACGTTTTTATGCTCCCAGATGAAGCCGTAACCGAGACAGAAACAAGATCCTAAACATGGAAATAAAGAGTTTTAACAGCAACAGAACTGGCTGGACAGGTTTTCTTTCTGTAACGTGGGGCCTCACAGAGTCCTGAGCTCCCTCTGGACTCACAACTTCATGTTTGCTCTTGTTTGTTTATGCTGAACATGCAAACAATATGTTCTTACACAGATACTTTTATATAATAAAAGAAGGGCAAGTAAGAAAGTGTAGAAAAAGATCTGATTTCTGCACTAATACGCTGTGTTGTGAACAGTATTTTATGTCAAATGTACATCAAGTACACTTTTACAAAGTAATTGTATATTTCTTGGATCATGTGTGTGTGTGATATTTCTATTTGTACAGTACATTATTATAACTACTGTAGTTATTGTTGAGCTTGTTGTTTTTACATATCGTTTTAACGCTTTAATAACTTTTCATGTGACCCTTTATATCTGATCCTGCTGTTAGACTTAATTTTCTCCTTTGCAGTAAACATCGTCCCTCTCTTTCAATACAAGATGATTATTTTACTTAGATAATATTAACTAGAAAAATCTAATCAACAAAGAATCTGTAACTGAAAACAAACATTCACTACATTTTATGGAAATGCCTTTTAAATAGCTTTTTTTGTCTGAACTTCTCTTTTTTTTATATAGGTCGAGTCCATAAACAAAACAAAACTTTTTCCTAACGCTGCATGGTTTTAAAGCAAACATGCAATTATAATTTATACAACCCCTAAATTATAATTTACCTAATTTAAATAAATATTTTACTTTCTCATAAACAGTCTTACACAGAAGATGGAGGGAAAAAAAGAAGAAAGAGGAGGAGGAGCTCACTTTAGGAATAAACAAACCAGAATGCGATCTTTGTGTTGGATCTGTCGCCATCTAGCGGTCAGATATAAGAGTTTAATGCCCTTTCGAGATTCAGCAGTAAAGATGTACATTCGCTAACTTTTGAGCTAATTTTTCTGAATAATCTGTTAAGTGCTGATAGAAAACCTTGGAAACTGTAACTCTTTAAACAAGAACTAAAGAGGATAAATAAACTAAACATTAATTCTTAGCCAAAATGAATAACATATATTTTTGAGGAGGGACAGGAAACATGATCATCTGTAAGATTTGAAGAACTTTTGGCTGGAAAGCTAAACAATGAAAGTGATTTTAAATGCGCTTCAACCAAATATCAAGGCACCCGATGTCACAAATATGAAAAACAAAGCATAAAACTGTAGACTTGCTTTATTAGTGAATATATAATACTAAATATATACATCATGTACTTGGATTAAACAAAAATATAACATCTCTTAAAAAAATAACATGTTTATAAAGTGGCAATACAAGTAAGTCAAATGCATGAACATAATACTGGCACAACGAATGGAGGAACAAGTCGTCGATTTCTTCTTTGCTGCACATTTCAGCTCTTTAGTCGTCAAAGCTTCGGCCGAACGTCTTCAGACCGCAGCAGCTTTTCGAACTCGGGTCACATGCAGAAACACGTCCTCTTACATACGAGAGCCTTCCTTCAGATCGGAAATGGCAAAGCAGCTGAGGGTCACACTGCGTCCTTCACACAGCAGCTTCTTACATCACTGAATCAGCAAAAAAAAAAAAGTATATATATAGAAAAAGACTTCAACAAAACAATTACACAATGCAAACTAGGTTAGAGAGCAAAACCACTTGAAATCTGCAGGATGTTCCTTCATTTGATCACTACAGAAAAAAAACTAACTTTCTTCATTTAAACTGAAACAAACATGGGCAAAGCTTATGAGAACTGAAGTAAATCAAGGTTTTATGCCAGATTTAGGCACAAACATCGAAAACCAAACTCCTCCATATATTAACCCAGGTGTTCATTAGACCCTACACATGACGGGAATCTTTTTTAGCAACAAACCTACATGCGCTCGATAAACCGCTGCAGTCTGACTGAAACCTACAGCTTGGAAGGCCGAGACACATTTATAAAATTCAAATCAACGTAAAAATCCTTCATAACTCCAGTTTTGTTTTAAAAAGGACCAGAGTAGCTGTTACTGGGGAAATCTTTCCGCTTTCTGTACCTCATCAGTACAGGTCAGATCGTAACAGGACAAAAACGAGCTCAAACATTTTCTCACAGAAACTCTCACACACTATTTTTTGTCTAGTTTCTAGTGCAAATGTCTTAGTACACTTAAAAAAAAACTTTTCAGCAATTTATAAAAGTTTGTTTTAATTCTTAATTCTTTAACATTAACTTTTTAAAAAAGTACTATTTTCACTGGGAAATTATTTTAGTTATAACATGGGTACTTTTTCTTGTTACAAGTGAAATAATCTACCAGTGGCACCAGTATTGTTTCATCCATATTAAGGAATTATTGATTTAAAACAAGCTTCTGTATCTTACTGAAGTTACTTGTTGATTAGTTTTTGTCTTACTTCAAGTGGACTAATATATTTGCACTAGAAACTAGACCCCAAAAAAAAAAAAAACTTGATATTTTTCTGCTTTTGCAGCACATTGTGCCGCCATTTCTCTGACACATGAATACTGAAGTGTGTTAAATAATTTAAACAGTTAAAATTACATTTAGGTTGTATAAAATATTACAATTTTCATCTAGAAGATGTGTGCATGTTCATGAGCGACTCTCAGGACAATGTCTCTGTATCCAAGGAGTGTTTTAAATATAAAAACATGCTCTGGTTTTACATTTGATCTGTGCGAACTCGGTGAAAGTCAGCAGCTCTTGTTACGCTTTCAGATTATCTGGGTGAAGCAAAAATGCTTCTGTAGTCATTCAGGAGTTTCCACTGATGAGTCAAACTCGGGAATGCTGAAGATTTCCTCCAGCTGGGGATTCAGATCCCACTATCGTCCAATAACCTACACAACTGTGGTAGATGGAGAAATCCTGGATGAGCATCTGGACTGTTCTGGTGTCATCTCTCCTCTCTCAGAGCAGGGTTTCGTTCACTCTGCTGGTAAAGTGAGAGCTGCTCCGAGTTAATCTTCAGTCAGACACACCGACGGTCTTTGTGGCGATGAACAGAAATGAGGAGGAGCCTCAGATGCGTCTTGGTGCTTCCGACGCCGACGAGGCGATGCGGTCAGTCAGTAAGTATTCGGCCTGTGCAGAAGCTTGTCGTTCATTTGGCGTGCCGGCCCCTGGGCCGAGCGCCGGGGCTGGAGAAGGAGCCAAACTGTTTCCCGTGGCTCCTCCAGCGCTGCCGCAGCACAAAGTCGTAGTTGGCCGAGGTGCACATGGCGTAGAAGACGTTGGCGTTGTCGGGAATGTGAAGCTCTGAGGAAAACAAAGCACACGTGAGGAGTTGCTGGGCGTGTTCTGTGCCGTCTAGATCGGACTCAGAAAATCTTTACCTTTTTTTTTTTTTTTGGCAGCAAGAACGTTTTGAACAAGACTTTTTTTTATTCTATTTAATTCAATTAAAACAATACTTTTCATACAAGCAGTTTAACAGTTTAGAAGGGAACAGTGGTCCGACAGGAACCAAAACCGCAATACCTGTAATATTAATAATGATCTAAGCAGAAATATTTTAGCTATTTAGACAGATTGAAGTGCAGACGTTTACCTCTTCCGTGGTTGAGCAGCTGGTAGAGGCCGAAGTCGCTGCTCCTGAAATCCTCCATGTTGTGTTTCTCTAGAGCTCTCTGGATCACCTGAGGCGTGTGGTCCTGACTGGTCAGCTGCACGGAAAACAGGAAGATTTCTCCAATGTAGTTACTGGATTCAAAACTCAATCCTGACATTAGCTTAATTATCTTAATGTCTAATTTGCAACTACAGAATGAATAAATTAGGAACGCATGATGTATATACAGTAATATGTTGGCTGGTGTTAGTTACTTTTCAACATATCGATATCAGTCTGGGTTGATATCAATGACCAATATTATTTCAATCTTGCTGTTTGTTTTTGGAGTGAAGGAGGTTGGTCATGAGATTGAGGCAGCAAAGAATTGTGGGAAGTTTAACTGAAGCAGAGAGGCGGTTTCTATTTTAGGGCGTTGAAAGATTAGTGAAATATATATGTAAAGTCTGCAAATATCGGAAACTGCAGCAATATTAATATCGGATATCAACATCGGCCCAAATTTGCACATTGGTGCATTCTGAAAATATTGCAATTATTTTTAAATATTGTTTTTAATGTACAATATTACATTGTCCACTACTATTACAAGAACAGTAATAAACTTCATTTCATTCTTAATTTGTTATTCATACAGAAAAATTTACAGAAATAAAAAAGTTAATTATTCCTTTTTCTTTTGGTTTCTTCAAGCTGCTCAACAATAAATTAATAATACTTTTTAAGTAATTTTAAACAATTTTATTTCATTATTTTGAAGTAAATTATAAATCGAGTGGTCCTTGCAACCACAACAGAATAAAAGCAAGAATAGATTCTTTTTTTTTTTTGACTGAAGCAGAGCTCCAGTAGTTTGGCCAACGTACCAGGATGCTCTTGTAGACGTTTCCGTTGCTGACGCACTCCACCGTGACCCTGATGATGCACGAGTCTGCGATCTGTTTGTTGTAGAGGGGCAGCACGGCCTGAGGAGAGCAGGTGGACTGCGATGAAGAAGAAGACGACGACGACGACGATGACGATGACTCTGGGCTGAGCGCCAGAGAAGAAGAGGAGAGGTCAGGCTGCGAGGAGCAGAAGGACGAGCTGGAGAGGCTCGGTGAGGACGAGGAAGACATGGAGAAGTCCTCCGCTACGTTGTGGAGCGAGCCTGGGAGAGACTGAAGCCAAGGGAGAAAACGTTGAGCTTAATGGAGTCCAAGCAGGAGTCTGGACACTTTGGGGCTCTTTTACCTTCAGCTTGAGCCTGAAGGGTGAAGGCTGAGGCGTGGAGAGGTCCTCCAGGTCTGAACCACTGGACCCAGACGACGACACGCTGATCTGATCCGAATGTGACGTTCGCAACCTGCACATAAAAAAACAAACAATAAAAAAGTTACTCTAAAAAAAAACAAAAAAAAACTGACAGCAACCTGTAGCTCGTTTGAGTTTTGACAGCTGATCTTTCAAAACTTACGAAGCAAGCTTATTGGCCAGCAGGCGGCGGCTCCAAGAGTTGGGAGAGTTGGGGTAGGGGTCAACAGGAGGCTCCAAGTCCCGAGACCGCTCATAGCTACGGAAATGAGAAGACAATATGAGACAGGGTTTGGTGAAACCTTCGTCAAAACCGTGTGGTTTTCCTGGTTTTACCTCTCCTGCTCCGTGAGCAGAGTGTGAGCCTGGAGCCAGGCTGTGAGGTCAGAGTTCACCGAGAGGCTGTAGTGGGAGCAGAAAGCCTGCAGCTGTCGGATCTGAGAGAGGATCTCGTACTCCTAAAGGAAGCAAAGTTAAAAAACACTGAATAATCCATGAAACATATAAAACTGATGATAATAAATCACATTCTGCACACGTCATAAAAAGCCAGAAGTATCCACACTCAAAGTCTGCAGACCCTGAAGCTCTTTTTAGTCAATTTTAATTGAAAATATAAATGAAAAGTTTTACTATTATAGATCCATTCTCTTAAAGCAGGAGTGCTGCGAACCACAATGCTTTCAGCTCGTTCAATCAGATATTCCTATGAAGCGCCACTAGGGGGCAGAACTTACCCGTCTCCGTTTCTCAAAGTTGATGAGATTCCCCTGCAAAAAAAATGAATAACCAAAGTTGTAATGGGACCAGACAGCTCTGAATTGGACCATAAAGAGGAGCAGGTAAAGAACCCACCTCCACAGTGTCGGACAGCGCCGTGTCCAACATGGTGAGGACCGTCAGGTACGTCCCCAGGTACGGCACCATGCCACAGCTGAAGCTCTGAGGGGGAAAACAAACACCAAGCATGAAGCACATAGAAAAAAAACTAACAAACTAGAAATATAAAATATTCTGACCTGAGGTTTTCATTTCTTCATAAAATAAAAGTATTTTAAACTTGCTACTCTGTCTGAAACATTGAATATGATGCGAAACATTTTCCACAACCACCAGCCTGCAATCATTTTTTTATTCCTTTATCCTTCTGCTGAACTTGTAAACATTTTCTATTTTCAAGCACAAAAAGAGGAGGAAGGATCAGCTAAAACACCAAATCAGCTAAAGGGAAGTGGATCTGATGATTCAGGGAGACAATTAAGGACTTTATGTCACACGTTTCTCTACCAGCTGACACATTTATTCCATCTCAGTGGTCAGAACTAAAATTTGGGAAGTGAAAGGCGATTTCAGAGCAAATCGCGGGGTTTCCTTTCACCGCGGGTCTAGACGCAGTCATGATTTACAGCTACGCGCGGCGCTGCTTTCACCATGGCTCCTCTCTCGCAGAGAGAGGACAGGAGCCGTGTCAACGCTCGTGAATCAAAGCGAGGCGACAACAAACAAGTGGACGCGTTATATAACCGTTTCCTGCAGGGCTGAGTGGAGCTGGGGATGTGGGAGGGCACAACATGACCAGTTTAGCTTCAGCCATTGTGCAACATTAGAGGGCTGGTTTTATAAAAACTGGAGTATCCGACTGCAAGAGTCACTAAACACACATCCTTATCGGCTGTTGCTCACAGTAAAAAAAGAAAAGGTGAAACGTTATCCAAAGTGTGAAACACCTTGAGCAATAAAAAAAAAAAAAAAAAAAAAAGCCCCCCGGCCAACCAACAAAAAAGATTTTTTTTTTGGAGGAAAGTGTCAGGTTCAA